AATTAAAAAATAAGACTGTTAATAGTGAGATTAAATTTCATAAGAAAAAGGTATCTAATTAATTTAGGTACCTTTCTTATGAAATTTTATCAGAAGTGTACATAAAATACTATAATTTTATGTACATTTATTACATTTTACTGTGTTATTTGTATTTCCATTCATTTTATTATTAATTTTGATATTTCATTTATGGAAAAATGTCATAACTGAGATTAATATAAAAAATAAGATCATATAAATGAAAGTTTAGCAGTAGTTAAATTCCATAAGATGATACTGTTACTTGTAGGTACCCTTCTCAGTTGAAATTGAAAACTCAAACTAACTTCTCCATACGTGTTTCGCAAAAGTAAAGGGCTTAACAGCGGAGAACAATGCTGAACTCAAATAATGCAACTAAATTGTATTCTGATTGGTCTTCCATACTTGATAATTACTTTTCGAGTATAAACACAAAAATTACATATCTTAATTACCATGGCTAATCTGATTGGTCCAAACTATATACAATTTTCAAAGCGCTAGACAATGACAATCTCACACGGACATTTTGAAAGGTTGATGTTGCATTTAACTAATGTTAAAATATTTTTAAAAATTCAATTTAAACATTTTTTAAAAAATCTTTTTAAAATTAAAGAAATAAGAAATAATTGTATTAAAAATTCAATTTTCATTGAAAAAAATTTTTTGCTTTCAGAAAATATTGTCCATATTCATAAAAACAAATTAAAACAAATAAAAGCATTTGAAACTAAATAATATATTTGTTTTATTGAGTTTTGTATGTTACAATTCACAGCTGATTTTCAGGTACGTTGGCAAAAAAAAAAAAAAAAAAAAAAAAACATGATTTGCATTCTTCAAAGCCTTGTGCTTTTTAACTATTGTAATCACTAAAACCGATGGTCTCGAATTTCTAGAGTTTTTCATAAAATTAGTTATGGGGGTGTTAATAAATATAAAAAAATATTTCTGCCATGACTTTAATAAAAAAAAATATATTTATAATAATTTCGATCATCTGTGAATAGTTTCTGAAAGTTTCATTAACATCTGACAATTATTTTTATTTTTGCAAGATTTTCCAAATTAATGTGTGTAAATACAAAAAAAATGCGCTAAAAATTATCTATGTTATTTACCCCCTTGTTGCGACAAAGAGAAACAAGGTTTTTTAAATCAAAATTTAGAATATTCTAAAAGATGGAAAAATTTTAAAAAATAATTAAAAAAAATTTAGTCTATCCTCTTCATAAAAAAATAAGCATTTTGACGATAAAATTTTGTTTTCATAAACTTTGGCGTCTTTTTCATCAGACTATGCTCTATGTTTTAGCGATTCCGTGGAGTGACTTAGGTTAAAAAAAAACCCAGGTTGTTTATGTGTGTGTGTGTGTGTGTGTGTGTGTGTGTGTGTGTGTGTGTGTGTGTGTGTGTGTGTGTCCTTTATATATGGGATCGGATTTCTTACATTTTTCAGCCGATAAAACAAACATCCACTTTTTTTTTTCGGCAGGTAGTATTTCTTATTGTCTTGCACACTTTTTTTTCTTTATTTACATTCAGAATGCTTTAAAATTCCATTTACAAGACAATTGTTTATAATAAAATTCTATTCACCAATCGATAGACTCATAACGATTGTAAACAATGTTTTTTTTGTTTGAATTTGGGTTTGACCAATTCGTAAAAAAAAAAACTAATTAAGACATGCGTGTCCGTCAACCTTAAACAATAATCTTTGTCAATTTTATTTTTCAGTCTTTATGATGGTCGATACTTGATCTATCTCTTACTGTTACATCCCCGGGCAACGCCGGGCTCTACTGCTAGTACAGGATACAATTAACTTTTTGAATATCCATCTCATAAATTAATTCCCGTAAGCTTTAAATTTAGTGTCACTTTTGCGCAGTTGATCATGTGACATAGTTTTTTTTATGTAAATGTAATCCAATTTTTAAAACATCTGCTTAAAATGACACAAAAACTATACATTTATAAAATGTTAACAGGAATTTCTAGAAATATATATTAAAACTTCAGGATTAGAATGCAAAAACGGTCATTGAGATGCATTTTACTCGGCTTTTATACAACATTAGCGACTGATAATTTTACCAGGGCAATGACTGTTTATTTTGTTTATTTTTTAATATCATTCGGAAGTTTTTGTGTGAGTGAAAACACCCGGAATGTAACCGATGTAAAATCAAACTTTGTTGAATATTTCACACAAATCTTCTGCAATTGTAAATAAACATTGAGACGATGTGTTTCTAGTGGATAAGGTATTTTGAAAGGGAATATAGACTTATTTTAACTATACACAAATGCTATCATCATTAATCAAATTTTCCCGCCAGAAAGTAGAAATGCTTCCAGGAGCCTACCACGTGATTACGTTGATTATAAATATCAGATACAAGTTCGTTTCTACACTCTACTTTTCTACTCTACTCTTTGTAATACGAAAATATAACCGTAAAGAAAACTGCGTTTCGACCCCTTGCGGGCGGATGCTACGAAAACATATTCACACACGCAAACATACACGTACCAAACTTTCCAAACTTCATTATAAACATTACAAAGAGACATACACGAACTTTCAACTAATCAACACATATGCGAACTTTCAACACTTTCACAGTGAGACAAAAGAAAAGTCAACCGTTGTTGCCACGCTAAAGAAATTTAACTTGGATATTACAGTATTTTCCAATTCTTCACCTGCAAGAAATTACTTTAAAGAAAAAGATTTTTCCTGAAGTTACAAGTTTACCAAACACATTTTCAGCTCTTCAGGACGTAATTCAAGAAACATTTTCACTCAGTTCTATTTAACAAAATTTGCTCTTGTTGAACATTTTATTCTAGCGGCAAGATTTATTTTAAATATTTTCAGAAATACAAAAACTAAATTTTATTTAGTAGCAAACAGAATTTTCTTGAAACATCAAGTAAATATTCAAAGTTCTATTTTATCAAATATATTCTTACAATATTTATATTATACAAAACATTTAATTAATTCACAAGAACATTTCTTCTAAAATCAAACTTTTTCGTTGTGAGACTTGATAAAAAATACTATCTTTCAACGAAAGGTTCACAAATAATTAATATTCTAGATAACATTTGAAACTCAGCTTAGCTAAGCTAAATACTCTGAGCAATTTATTCTTAATAATTGTATTATCTGTATATAAATATTTTGTTATTGTTTTACGTATGTTGTCATCTTTTGATTGCCTTTGTTATCCTTGATGTAAGCATACATCAAAAATTAAATGTTTGTGGAAGAGTGAAGTTTTACACACGCAGCCGACCTAAAACGCCTTCTGATCACTTTTCAAATTTATTTCATCTATAAATTTTGAATATGTGTGCACTTAATCTGTGTAATTAATGCTGTAAAGGAAATTGTTGCTGTCGAATATAAGCAGCTGGAAACTCCAGGTTCACTTGTCAACTTAGCATAACCACAACGATATAAATGTTTATAAACGGTAGTCAGTTATCCTTACTCTTGATTTTCGAATAAACAGTGGGTATTAAATAATGAATTAATAAGCATAGCTTAGATATGGGACAATATAAGCCGAAAGTATAATGCATCCAGTAAGGATCGAAATTACTAATATATTACTGATATAGCCAGGTAAGCTTGCTAAGCATTGGACGACGTCGAAGTGACGGGTGGTGGTGGGTGGTGGTCTATCAAATAAGAGAGGGATCATTAAAAAATGTAATAAACGGAAGCAGCTCAAAATTTAAAAAAAAAAAACCCACTTTTTATTCGAAAGGCAAAAGTCACATATATCGCTTGAGGATTCAAAATATTATTATAATTCTAAATATGTGTAACAGAATAAGTTAAAGTTTCAAATCAGAAAATTCTGATGAGATTTTAAACTTAAAAAATATAAGCAATTAAAAATAGTCTACCTTTCATGAGTCTGCAAATCGGTTATTTCTATTTTATTCAAATACCAGGATGCATTGTCACCAGATCCGCTGTTATCGTGCCAAATGTACAGGTATTGAATGTCACCCAATAATTCATTGGTGCTCATGAAAAATTTAAGTATGCTTCCAGTTTTAAATTCCTGTATACAAGAAAATTAGAATTTTAATTATAGGGATGAATATTTATAACGCGAAATTAAGAAATACGCGCAGGTTATTGTTCGTTTGAGGTGTGTGTGTAATCAAACACGCACAAACGCTATTTCACCTGTTCTTGGGTAGTAGCAGTAACCTGTACATTACTAGAACGTATTTCCGAAAATGATCTCGGATGGGACTGAAAATACCTTGGAAAATAAAAGAAATGAAAAAAAAAAACAAAAAAACTGCGGCACCTTCCTTAATGAATTTAATAAGAGCATTAAGAAATTGGTCTGTGAATTTGAGAGGATTAAAATAAAATGTTTGGTTGAATAATCTTGACATATTATGTCTACTTATTTTATTTTAATTCCCAAGTACTTTCAGTCCCATCCGAGATCATCTCATTTTGGAAATACGTTCTAGTAATGTACTTATGCTCCTACCCTCATATTGTGTTTGCGTTTAGTTTGAGGTTATTGTGTAGTTCGTTTCGGTAGGATAATTTTAATGGTCGTTTATTTTTTTAATGGTCTTTTATTTATTTGTATTGCTATTATCTCATATTTTTATAGGATTAGTTTAATTTACGTCTAAATTGAAGCGCCAAAAATAGTGACAGCAAGTCACTTATAGAAATGAACTCAGTTGATGTCGTTTGTATTACGTAATAGTAGATATTGTAACTAGTAGCTATGGAACACGAACAGGAAATATAGTTTGAGCGTGGAATGACTGTTGGCGCCAGAAAGATGAGATATCTAACTCAAAGGTGACAACTGTTTCAGGTTTTTGTCGGGCAATAGTAGAATTATAGGCAAGAATATTTGAAGTTCGAACGGGAAACAGCGATATATGAAAACTGGTGGTGCCTACAATTGATGTAAGAACAGAAAGCGGTTTTCGATTAACAAATCACACTTTAAACACTGGTGCAGTGGCGTAGATAAGATGGGGGAGGAGGGGGACGGTCCGCCCCAGACGGCATTCTTGGTCCGCGGTGAGTTTTCAGAAAAGAAAAAACAGCATAATTTCAATAATTTAAAAAAAAAAAAGCAGCGGTAAGGAAGAAGATGGGTTCAAATGAAGCCAATTTATCTTTGATATGGCTTAGCTCACAGCCAGCCAGCAAGCAATAAAAAAAAAAAAATTCTCCAAAAGCGCTGTCAGCTGGTTGGGATAAACTACAGCTTACAAGACGTGAGCAAAAGGTGTGAAAAAAATTGAACATTTTTAAAGGACTTGATGTGGGGTTCGATTAAATGAATTTAGTAAATCCACAGTTTTTTCCCACCTATATGAGAAGTCCAGACTTTGCCGTCAGTTCTTCGATTTTGATTTTTCATGTCTGTGAACTGTTAGTGAAAAATTTTAATAAATAGGTGAACCAATTGTTTTTCTTTTATCATATCATAGGCCTAGCTTTTTAATAGGCATATAAAATTGTTACTTTTCATAAATTATAGATAAATAAATTGAAATAATTCCAATGCAATAAGGATATCACATGCATTCCAGTTTTTTTTCCGGAAATATCGAACGGAAACGTAAAAGAAAATTGAAAATTAATATATTTTTTTAAGTGCAGAAACTTTTAAAGTCCAAAAATGGACATATTTTCAATTTTTCAATTTACACGTTTTCACAGTAGTAAAACAGTGCAATGTTTTATTTTCTTGTTTAGATGTTTCAAGTTTTATTAAGCAAAATAGACTAAGAATTAAAAGTATGATAACATTTATTTCAGTTTTTAAAAGTGAAATTAATTTTATCGGACTTTTGTCGCGGCCGCCTCTGGCCGCTCCCTAAAACGGAAGAGAACAGGGCACTTCGACCTTGACCGTTTTGATGGGTAATTTAGTCTCATTTCGTTTTAGAATTGAGCTAATTACTTTTTTTTAGTTCCGTTTGTGTTACGAACTTAGTCGTAACACACCTCTTAAGCATCTTTAGACCTTTGGTTTTTCGTAACAAATCTCAACTCATTTTTAGAGAGATTTTTACCATTTTTGCGAGACCGTGTCTGTTGTTGGTCTCCCTTAATATGAGATGGCAACTTCATTAAATTTTTATGGCATGGGGCGCGTTACATAGGTTCCCTTTGAGGGGATGTGGTATTATGGTGTGTGGAGGATTGATTGGTGACGGACGAGTTTTTATGGTGAATGGGCAAATTGTAATGATTATAATGAGCGAATGGGTCGTGAATCGGATTAGCTAGGTATAATATAGTTAGTGAAGACCAGCCTCAACCCTTCCCCCTTTTCAGCCTTGTGCCATAATTGTATTTTTATATACAATAAGTAAACAGTACGCAGGCTCCTGGCCTTTGTGGCCAGGACGCCGACCGGGGATGCGTATTAAGTTACGCTCCCATTTTTTTGTGTGCCAACTGAACGCGAGTTGGGTCTATCTTTCTTTCTCTCTTTACTTCTTTTTACTTCTGGCTCCTTGCGCATTTTTCGACTCTCGGCATTCCGTCTCTAATGGCTGCCTGCACGTCGTCCATAACCTTTTCCGTGCACTACGATTATGATTACTACGGGGGGTTTCGATATCGGACTCGACCAGCAGATACGCAACTCCAGCACCGCACATTCGAAAACAAAATCTCAGCGCCAGCTTCCCGGCACTGACCAGATACAGTCGCCGATACCATTCCTGCCGGACACGTCCAATCCATAGGAAACCTCTAGCAACCAGCATTGATCATGTGCAGCGACCAGCATCGATCACGTGCAGCGACCAGCATCGATTATGTGCAGCGACCAGCATCGATCATGTGCAGCGACCAGCATCGATCACGTGCAGCGACCAACGATCACCTGCGACGACCAGCAGCGACCATCTGCAACGACCAACCTTTCACGTATACTATCGGTTGTAATTATTACGGGAGGTTTCGACACCGACCTCAACTTCCAACTTTCGACACGACCAGTCCAACCATCGACACGACCAGTCCGACCACCATTACTACAATTACCAGACCATCTAACCCACAGCTTCTGCTTTGTAAATAAACTTAGCATTAATCATGCAAATACTTGTTCTGTTTTTCATTTTGTTTCATCTTGTCAAATTTCACGTCTTTAATTCGAAAATGTTACCGGGTCTCTTGTGACCTCATACTGATACGGGGGCGCTCGAGTCGTTGTTTCATATCGCCACCCGCCCTCCATGGGGTCCGCTAAGTCTACTACTTTGCTAATAATAACTTCAACTACGTAAAACAAAATAATTTAAAAAGAAATTTCATTTTTTTACATTGTTAAAAGAAAACGTGGCATTTAATTTATGACTCCTCACTTGTTAGAATTTAAATAAATATTTAAAAAAATGATAAATTTAGAAAAAAAGAAGTAACGTCTTCCATTTTTTACATATCCCTAGTTTTATTTAAAAAAATAAACACAATTGTACTTTTATTTCATAATTTATCAGTGAGGAGTTATAAATTACTACGTTAACAGAAACGCGGGCTTATCCCACGTATAGAATATGTGTGAAAATACGACAGAAGCTGTCATAAAAAAAACGAGTATAAAAATATTCAATGTTTGAAGACACAAAATATTAGCATAATTAGAATGTTTCTTTTATTTTCTTTCCATACATGTAATTGTTTTAACGATTGGACCACAAATAAACTATTTATGTCTTCTTAAGCACATTGAAGTGAAAATTCGCCGATGAAAATACAAGTGCAGTCAACAGCCGTCAGGTCAGCATTATTGACGGTTGCTGCCAGTGGAAGAGAAAGGTAATATTAGAGCAGATATGAAAAAACAGACACAATAGTTTTATTAGATTAAGATTATAAAATGCTTATGTAATATTGTATTATTTGTTTACAAAATAAATATAAGCTAAAAAAATTGTCAACGTTTATTATTGTTTCTGGTAAGGGGTTAATGTGCATTGTAATATTATATTCCTTCTGGGGAGGGGCGGCATACTTGAGGGCCGCTCCGTGAGTCAAAATCACTAGCTACGCCACTGCATCGATGTCCATAAATCCACGCACTATACAGTTTACACTTCATCCGATGTGATTTCGTAGTCGTTGATCAACACAGCTCTCCTTATTGATATCTCATCATCGGTTATTTTGACTCATTTACTCATCAGGGCTAGCGAACATCGCCATTGGTCCATGGAACCTAATTATGTCGTCTGGTTAGTCGGATCATGTTCCCAGTCTTTCGGTCCGATGGTGTAGCTCGTGTGTGAATAACATTGTATGAGGCTATGGATCCAATCCTTAGAGTGAAAATTGATCGTGATTCTGTTATGGTATGTTATTGGTGGAATTCGCAAGGACCATTATTAAAACCGGAATCTATCTTGACAAATGATCTCGTTGCAGTTCATTTGCAGTCCCCTTATAAATGTTTTCTAGTGGTGATGGTTTCTATTATAACTTCCTATTGTAAGGTTATTGTTATAACACACACTCGTACTTGGTATAACGTAATTCGTTAAAGTATTCTCTATACGTAATGCTGAGGCTATTGCATTAACGCCTGTATAGTTAGTATGAAAACTGACTCCATTACATCTACTCGTATTTACCCAATTCTACCCACAAGGTAGGATGTGGCACAAGGTAAGATGTAGCACAAGGCCAATTTTTATGTGGGGCGACTCCGAGCCCGTAGGCTCGGGCAAAATTTCCTCATAGACCACCGCATCCTCGTCTGGGGAGGTAGACAAACCCAGTCGAAACTCTGTCCGTAGGCATAGCCTCGTTTGGAGTCCTTTCTACCCAAAGAGTACGCTCACGTTATAGTGTCAGCATTTCGTAGACTTCATCGTCGTGTAGCTGTTGTTATTCATATGGAGGGTGGAGCTATACGTTATTAATGGTCTCTAATTTTCGGCCTAAATAAATGGATAAATCAGAATAAACAGAGTAATCAGCAAGTCAAATAACTGATTTTATGAAAAAGTCATTACTGCCATTACAATATTCTCTTACCTTTTGATGACCATCTGTCAGTGAGTGGACTTTGGTGTCTACATTCTCGCCGGCTACCTTGAAGCTGATCCTAGATTTTGTTCCTGATCCATATTGAAGCCCTGTATAAACGGATATTACATACCAAAATGGATCTGTGTCCACGCTGTCAACCAATGGTATGATAGACCACTAGAAAGGAAAATATTCAGTGTCGATCAAAGCAGAATTTCAGATAAGGTTTATTGTTACTTTAAAAGAGATTTGAAATATAACAATGGATTATAAACAAATGGAGGATTGTAATAAAGAATTCAATTTGAGCCTGATAACAAATGCCACGCAAAATCTTTTTACTTGTGTAGGATTAAAGATTAGGGTCGTTTTTTTCTCATTTAGTAGGAAAATTAGGTATATTTAAATAGACATACTTTTTCCAACCTACAAAATACGGCCTTTAAAATGACCAGAACAGCTATCTAACAGTATTACTGCAATATTATTCTCACAATAAAAGTTAATTCTCAAAACTCAATTAAACCTTGAAATTCCACATGTCTAAGGTTTCTGGCTTTAAGTAATGATGCCTAGAGACAACTAATGTGACAGACATTCAAATTTATTTGTTATCATTAGATAAATAAAGACATCGCAACCTACTCTGATAAAATCTTTCCGATCGTAATGCCTCGTAATTACAAGCAGAATAAGATATATGCTGATGAAAGCGATGACTACACCAAAAACTGCTCCATTGTTGACGAGGTCAAATTTATTGAATACAGTAGAGAAGTCGATAACGTTTGGCGGAACGTAGAAAGAATTGCTGAAGATTGTACTGACAGGATTATTGCATTCGCACTCAACAGAATTTTTCTCTTTGTTGTATTTTGGCTGGAAAGAAAGAAAAAAGAAATGAAAATTAACATCGTAAGAATCATTAGCAATGATAAATCTGTAAGTATGCGACAGAGAGAGAGAGAGAGAGAGAGAGAGAGAGAGAGAGAGTCTGGGAAACATGCACACACACACGTATATATATTTCTTTTTAGTGAAATTGTAGAAGATTTGGATAGCGAAATTAAATCGGAGCATTTTGTTTACTGATGTAGAAATTAGATCTAGGCCAGAAGTTGTACCCATTGAATCTGGGTCATCAGGAGACAATGGAAGTGGTCGAAATAATTTTTATCGATTAAAAATTGAAATAGAGCTGAATAAGCTTGAAGGAACTTTGGAATTCACATGATTTTGGTTGAAGCCGCCTGAATCCGGTGATAATCGCGTGCGAAGTGGTGGAGCCAAGGGTCAGTTGTAATCAGCTTGGTTTATCTATATAAACGCGTAGTTATGCTGAAAACCGCAGACGGGCGAGTGTTGAGACGGAAGAGAGAGACGGGCGAGTGTGCAGACTGAAGACAGAGACGGAAGAGACAGACGGAAGAAGCAGACGGAAGAGGCAGACGGAAGAGAGAGAGAGAGACAGAAGAGAATTAGCCCAGGCAAGAGTTGGGCTAGAGACAGTGGAGAGACGAGTTGGAGACTCAAGAAGGAGAGAACGTGACGTCAAAGATTGGAATGAAGCGTCCGCTAACATGTGCTGTTGATTTGAGTACCGCTTTTTCTGCTACCACGAATATTACTACTACTGTTACTACTGCTAAGGAAGAACGCCAATATAAACTTTAAGCCACGCACAGAAATCTTATTTCCCCATTGCAAGACTCGTATATCATTCTGAGACGATTTAACAACAAGTTAATCATAACACACTCTCTATATACAGAATCCAGTGTATGCGTTTTTAGGTCAATTATTTTTCTTTTCTGTAACTCCTTTCTTTTCTATACTATTCTTTTTTGCTATATAAAAGACATTAACAATTCAATCATTGAATAGTTGTTTGTCCTGATTTCTGCAGATATTATTTTTTTTTTTTTTTTGCTGCATCCTAAATTTCTTAGCTCAGACTCTCCAGCCGTGTCTACATCTTCAGCCGACCGTGAATGGATGAAAATCACTTCTGATTTCTGGATCAAATCAAACACAACGTGGGCAGGAAGCAGGATTAAACCAGTGGACCAGTCGAATAATCTATGGATGCTCAGAGGACCTACGGCCACTCCCTTAAGTTCGGTTAAGACCGAGTAGACACTTTAACCCAGAGAGTAAGAAGTCGAAGGTTGAGGGGCTGGGGAGAAAGTGTTAAACTGGTGCCGTGACCAGGATGGACCCGTGGGAATTACCACGGCCGTCTGAAAAGTTGTATTTGTTTTGTCCAGTCGGGACCAAGTAAGACCAGAAAGGACTCTAGTTTTCGGACTATATTGGTCTAAAAGGGACATAAGGAGGAAAAGAGAAGGAAGCAAAAGAAGGAAGAAAAAGAAACAAAACACGGAGCGGTGGACCTCAGGTAAGTCACTTTTTAGTTTCCTTTTTTCGCTCATTGAACTTAGATCTGCCAGTAATATTTTTGATCTTGTTTTGACTTTGTCGACTTTGTACGCAGTTGAAGCGCCACCACCGTGTTAAGTATTTTTCCATTCGTTCTGTCGTCGGTCTCTCTTCTCGTAGGAAAGTGGTAGTTGACAAGACGCTAGGATGAGTGTAGCAGGACTCTACGACCTTGGGGACATGTGAGTCCCCGAAATATCGATGGGTTTCAGGAGGCTGAAGCATGAAGCTACCTACTTATAAAGGAACCCCTGCGAACCTGCACGAATGGATTCTGTTCATTCAGAAGAAGCAGGTGATCTATGGCCTCTCGGACCAAGAAATGGTGCTCCTAGCTTACGACGCCGCAGCGGGGCAAGTTCATAGGGGGCGTACGGCCATTGAGGCATTCAGGAAATTATTCCGGCTGCTGCAACAAGAAGGAGGAACTAATGAAGAATTGGAGGAAATAATCGCGGGGCTAGCGGCGTTAACTTTTCCGGAGTTGGCGACTCGGGACAGTGGTCCTATTCAGGCCTTGTTGGCTGATGTGTGATGTGGACGCGCTGAGTGACAGGGATCTGAGGGGCGATGTTCTGAAGTTAGGACTGGTCAGCCTGGCCGCAGCCATAGAGGCAGCTCGGACCAGCGAACGACTCTGGGATAGAATAAGAGGGGATGTAGGTAGGAACCCGGGGGGGGGGCAAAGTAGTGATGAAAAAGGACAAGGAGCGGATCTAGATATGGGACCCGAAAGAAGAGGCGGAAGAGGACTGGAAGGCTGAAGCAGTTCCCAGTAGGAGAGTCTGGGATCTGCGTTATGGGTTTCACAAGCCCACACCGGGCCGATATGGGCTGATGTGCTGGTCTTGCAAGTATGGTGGGTATCGGGCCTGTGACTGCCCGACAAACTATGGAGGCGACCCAAGGTCTTTGGAGCCGAACTGCACGACTTTTGGCGAGTTCGGGCACAAGGCTCGGTGGTGTACGGCAGAGGGAGACCGTAAATGGGGATAAAGCGAGTTAATACACTGATGCCCCCTACCGAGAAGGAAAAGGGTTCGGGAAACGCCGTTGGGTCACCGTGAAAAAGTAACAGTCAGGGTGGCTCCAGTGCAAGTAAGACCTCTGAGATGCTGGACATGTGATGTGGTCGGGCACTTTTCGGCAAGTTGTAAGGAGCGAAGGTGTTGGCGCTGTGGAGGAGCGGGTCACCTGAGACGAACCTGTCCTCGCAGGAGAAAGATGGACCACATCGAACGAAACAACCCTAACTCGAATAGAGGGGAGGAATGGGTTGCTAGTCCGAGAAAAGAGAATCATCCGAGCTTTATCCCACGCAGGAGGGCCCCTGGATAGAAATGGGAGCCCCTAGAAAAAGTTGAACTCCTGTCACCGACTCCCACGCCTCGGCTGTCGAGAAAGCGAGAGGAAGGAAGAGAACATACGGGAAGGAGAAAGGCACGGGTATACCGTTTGCTGAAGGAAGGGCCAGACTTCACCTGTAATGTGTTGCTGGGAGACAAGAAGGTGAAGGCCCTTGTCAATACTGAAGCTTCAGTGTCGCTGGTTAGCTCCAAGGTTTTTAGACAGGTGGGACTGAAAACGAAGCTTAGTCCCGTCGATCTACTAATAAGTCAGGCTGATAGTAGCAGGATGCGAATAGAGGGTATGACGTGGCTACCTTTCCAATTGGCAAGAACCAGAGGTGGCACCTGACGTGTGGTAAGCTAATTTTGGGGAGTGACTGGCTTAGGCAGAATAAGGCACAGATCCGTTTCGACCCCGCCACCCTAACATTGGACGGGGTAGGGATACTATTGGGAGGGGATAATTATGAACAATTGCCAGTGGTGGCCCAGACAGATATAAAGCTTCCCCCTAGAACTACTGTATCTGGGAAGGGCAAGATTATAACAGAAGGAGTGCTGAACAGTGACCTGTACCAAGTGGTCCCTACTGATAGTGTATTTAGTCAGTTAATGTCCATCGTATTGAATGGAAGTGAGGCCTTTGTCATGGCGTATCTAGATAACATCATGGTGTTTTCAAAATCACCGGAGGAGCATTTTGAACATCTGCAAAAGGTGTTCGATAGGTTAAGAGAACATGGATTAAAGTTAAAATTATCGAAGTGTCAGTTTATGAAAGAAGAGACAAAGTACTTATGGTTTATCATAAACAAAGAAGGAATAAAAACGGATTTAGACAAAGTAGAGGTTATAAGAGCCATGCCCGCCCCGAAGACCGTAAGAGAGATTAGGGGATTTATTGGAGCCATCGGATATTACCGGAGGTTCATACCAACATTTAGTCGGCTAACAGGCTCTCTAATAGCTCTAAGAAGCATGCTAAGTTTAAGTGAACCGAGGAGTGGCAGCGTGCATTCGAGGCTCTAAAGGACCAGCTGACAGTTGTACCCCTGTTGGCCTACACAGACCCGAGGAAGCCCATGGTTCTGTACACCGATGCTAGCGATAAGTGCATCCGGGCAGTTCTTACACAACCATGTCCCGATAAGGATGGACCAGTACCGGGTGTGCCTGAGGAAGTGCCGATCTATTTTCTGTCTCATCGGTTCTCCGAGACTCAGCAAAGGTGGCCAGTAATAGAAAAAGAAGCGCTCGCCATTCTGTATGCTGTGCAGAAATTAGATTATTATTTGAGTGGGGCTGTGTTTACCATTAAAATAGACCACCAACCCCTCAAATATCTGTTAAAGGCGGAGTGGACAAATAAGAAGATACAACAGTGGGCATTGAAGTTAAGTGGGTATAACTGCAGAATAGGATATTTGGCAGGGAAGGATAATACCTGTGCTGACCTGTTATTGAGGATTCCGAGGCAATTAGAGACCGAATATGTCAGGTTGGAGCCGGGTGTGGATGATAAAGCATTCCAAATTAATGTGATCAATTAAAAGGCGTTGAAGCAGAGACTTGATTGGGAAGATCAGGAAACGAGTGAAAAGGAGATTATTTCCGACCCCCACTGGAGGGATTTTATTAGGCAAAGACAAGAGGATAGCGAGATAGCAACTATCAGGTCCAGGGTAGAGACTGGGCGTACCTCCAAATATATGATGCACGATGGAGTGTTGTATTACCTTTCAGGAAGAAATGAGGAAGTAAGTTTAAAAATGGTGATACCTGAGAAGTTGAGAGCTGAAATTCTAGACCAATGCCATAGGAGGTTAGGACACCTGGGAATTGATATGGCGTATGGATTAATGAAATTACTAGAGGCCTAATGATGTTAATGATGTTGTGAACCATGTAAAAAAATGTGTAACATGCTAAGTACAGAGTCGAAGGAGTAGGGTTGCCCCAGTATTAGAAATGGATGTTCCGAATTATCCATTTCAGAAAGTAAGCATGGATATTTCCGGGCCCTATGGAGAAACACATAGAGGTAATCTTTACATAGTGAGTTTTGTGGACTGGCTGACGAATTGGTCTGAGGCATTTGCCATACCGGATAAGAAGGCACGAACGGTGTCAGATATAATACTGAACGAAATATTCCCTAGGTATGCGGCCCCCGAACAGTTGGTTACCGATAATGGATGTGAATCAGATTATGAGAGAGACGTTAGGAGAATTAAACATACGGCACATCACCACCTCTCCATATCACCCCCAAAGTAACGCTAAGGTAGAAAGATTTCATAAGACACTCGCTGATGTGTTAGCTAAACTAACAGAGGATAAAAGGGAAAATTGGGATTTATTCGTATCCCAAGCGTTAGCAGCTGTGAGATTCTCGATGAACGAAACGACAAAATTTTCCCCTTATTACTTGATATATGACAGGGATGTAGTCTTACCTATAGACAATCTGTTACGACCTAGGAGGAAGTATTTAGGAGAGGATCATCACCAAATAGTTTTAGAACAACAGCATAAAACTTTTACGCATGTGAGGAAGAGGATTCAAAGAGCCCAGAAAAGGTGAAACGATAGGGTAAATAAAAATAGAGAAGTTTCCTTCCAGATCGGTGATCCAGTGTATTATAAAATCCCGATGAGAGAAGGTAAATTGGACCAGAGATGGAGTCCATACTATAGGATCGTGGAGCAGACGAGTCCGATTTCCTTTGTGATCTGGGACCAATTGACCGGGCAGGTAAAGAGAGTGCATGCGAATGATATAAAGTTAGCTGAAATAGAAGAATGGAAAGGAGCCGAAACAAAAACTCAACAGAAAAGGCTGAGGAAAACTACGTTGGTAGAACCTGAAGGGTTAGAGACTGAGAGTGAAAGTGAAGGGAGTGAGGAGATTGAAATTAGCCCAACTACCCTTCGAAGACTGAGGGAGGTAAGTCTGACCCCAGCGGGACATTCCGAGGAAGCAGGGATTGAGCCTAACCTTAGGGAGGAAGAAGAACTGAGTGAATGGGAAGAAGGGGATGAAATTCCGTTAGCTCAATTGCAGAGTAAATTGCGGGCTGTAAAAGCACCTAGTGTTAATGAGAAATTACCACTAAAACGGCGATTGAGGGTAGCGGTGCAGCCCGAGCCCAAGGATTAAGTGAAACCAGTACAGTGGCTGTGGTGAATGAGTGACGGCCTGGGACTAACTGTACATTTATCATTAGTGCTGGTGAACTGTGTGGACGGCCCCCATGCATGCACGGTGCTGGTGGTGGTGTGGGTCGGTGCTTGAGGTATCGCTCTAAGATGTAACCACCCGATAAAAAACAATAAGAGAATGATTGAGTAAGATGAATTATTCTCTCCATCTCTTTGCAGACATGGACGAGAGGAGGCTTGTAGTACTGACGATGCTAGTTGTGGTAGCTAATACCTGGGAACACAGTGAGAATACTGTATTTAAGAAGACTAGCGAAGTGATTATAACTACATCAAAGTGGTTGAAAACTTTGGTGATAGACCTGCAGTCGTATGAGAAGTTACTGGGTCAGTTGAAGACCGAAGTGGACAAACTAGATACAGCCAGGACACAAGTCGCCGGAGATTATTTACAGACTCCGGAATACCACCGTATAATTATACCCCTTAGCTCATGAATTCCTAATACTTGAGAGACAATGGAAGGATATAAGTTACTATTTGAAAGGAATAAAGTTGTTACGGACCAGGCAAAAGAGGGCAGTATTACCTATAATGGGAAAGGCATTAAGTGTGTTGTTTGGTACAGTCTCCGAAGACGAAGTAATTAAGAGGAAATTAAAGGTGGTAGAACAGAGACAACAAGCAATGGCTCAGTCGGTTAGAGAGAGTGTATCTATACTCAATGTTACTAGGCTGGAATTGGCTAAGAATAGAGGGAGTATCAATTGGTTCATTTCTCACCTACAGGTTTTAGAAAAGAAGTGACAAATGTAACCACGTCTGTAACAACCGAATTACAGAAATTAGAGTTTTTTTTTGCAAAGGTATTTTCAATTATTAGCTATAATGAGTAAGGTACGTCAAACAAGTCGATCTTTAACGGTGTTGTTAGAGCATGAGAGAGCACAATTAGACATGTTGTTGCTGGGACACCTGTCTCCGAGTATAATAACGCCGGAACGATTAAGAGAAGTACTACTGGAGATACAAGCCAAACTACTCCATCACCTTAGATTACCTGTAGACCCCAACCCAGCAGTTATGGAGGTATTATAGCGCCTTGGGATGGACTACCTTGTTGGAGGATGACAAATTGCTAGTGCTAGTGCCGGTTCCATTACTGGACAGAGATAGTACCTTTGAAATTTATCAGGTGATGAATCTTCCCCTTCCCTATCCAAAACTAAGGCCGAAGATAGGAGCGGTGGCTAGGTACAAGGTAGAGACGGAATTTGTTGCCCTAAACCTAGCCAGGACAGAGTTTATGCTATTAACAAAGGGAGAAGCAGAAAAATGCAAGAATTATGCCTAAGGTACCTGTGGGACTGTAAATCCAATTTATGTGACAGGTAGTCACACTCTGTGTGTACTAGATTTATTTAAGAAAAATAAGAAGGGAATTAGAGATCATTGTCAAGTAGAGGTGTTGGCTAGTGTAATGTTACCTAAAGCAACCAGTGTCTCTGACGGAATTTGGGCGGTGACCTCACAAGAAGAGATCGAATTATCTAAGGTGTGTGAAGGGAAGCCCACCACTACGATAAGAGTTATTTCTCCTTTGTTTTTCGTAGAGCTACCCATTGGTTGTGGAGCTCATGGTCCATCTATCTCTTTACCCCACTACTACCAAGCAGAAGAGAAGTTTGAAGAGAATGAAATTCTCTTAAGAAACTTTTAATTTGAAAAATAATAAATTTAGGCCAGGTATATATTCAGCATTCGGCTGAATGTGAATACTCCAAAATTTGAAGTTTCATCGATGGTTCTTGTTTGATTTAGAGCAAAAGATTCTTTATTTTGAAACTAATATCCTTTTCCTTTGTATTTACGAATATATGATTATTTGCCTCAATCATATTTGCTTTTATTTATGGAGATTTTATATGTCAGCATTAAAATTCAAATCTTGGCCATTACTGGAATTCAAAAAAACTGGTTGCTGATGTCGATACCCCACGGCTTAATGTCCCTTATTGTTCTCAGTAATAATTTTTCATTTCCTCTTTCTCTTCCCCGTGTACTTGTTTCTCTATTCATTTGCACAAACTGTTCAAGTAGGCTATTCATTTCCTTCTTCTGCTTCTTTTGACTTTTACGTATCCTATAAGCATTAAATTCTCCAAATCTTCTTTTCTCATTATGTATCCAAGAAATGTCTTTTTTTCTATTTAGATCTTTCCGTATTCCACCACTACTGAGCATTTCATCCATCACTTTGGTAACTTTATCAATTCTCAAATTATCTAAGGTTGTCAACATCTCTATGACAATCTGCCGATCCTGCTGATTTTGTTCCTCTTCACCTTGGCCATTGCTGTTCTCAACCCAAATTTTGCTATCACGTGATTCTTCCATGCTGTTGGTTTATCTCCTCTGTTATCACGGAAGAGTTCTCCTATATATTCATTGCATCATTGTCATATCACTTCGCATTAATGTACTTCTTTATTTGAATTCTGATGAATACCATGGTTTCTTTTTTGTCTGTATGCCACTGCATATATGTCCTTCACTTCTTCGATATCTGCAAATAGCCATTCCTCCTTAACTTGCCGTCTGTAATATTTTTGTTTAACTGTGTATACTTTGCATTATCCTTACCATTTCTAGGGAATACGCTGCTATTCATAACTACATTTGATTACTTTAGTCTTTTAAAAACCCGATTAACCTTCGAAACATAATCTCCGTCTCTCTATGTATGTGCCAGATCTATGCAAAATGTACGGGATCATCGCTTTTCATCCACAACTTCATTTTTTTTATTACACTCTTCCTTTCGCCTCGTCTTTGCTTTTATAGTGCTTGTTATGCTATTTATTTATTCAGACTTGTCAAGTTGGTTACTCGCTTTTCGCCTTCTTCTCTTATTATCAATGTGATTGTTATATTCTCCAAACCTTCTCTCCTCATTATTATTGTGAGACCGGAAACTACCTACACAATAGACTCTTCCAGGCCTATATTAAGTAGGCGACATAGCACTCTAGAGAGTGACACAGAGAGACAGTGATAGTCTCGTACGACGACCAGTGTTGGACACTAACATATAGTAAGCTCCGCTTACACTATCTCTGTAACCTGTTGTTAATATATCTTTCTTACATCTAATCCGTGTTCCGTGTTTTCCTTCTGTGGTCCCAACTTTGGCCCCACATCAATTATCTGTTCTCGAAATTTTTTCTTTCTATGTGTATGCAGCAATTTCTTTATAGTTTCTAGTATACAGCAATTTCTTTGTAGTTATAGTTATTCTCCGTAACATTTCCCTGTTTTTCACATGTTCTGTCAATGATATTGTTTGCATTCGTTGGTAGAACCGCATGTCTATTGCTTAGTCTTTTTCTTCATCCAGCATTCAATGCCATATTGGAGATTAGACATTTCGTAGCAGTCTAACACTCTTTTCTTAATTACCGATGACATTTTCCAATTCCTTAATACTTTGGTCAGTTTCGGAAAAGTTTCTTTTATTCTCCTTTCAGATTACTTCAGATTTCTGTCTTAATCATCACGACACGACAATATTTACTCTTTTCTTCTCGCTTTCATCAACTACCATTTTTGTTTATATTTTCCGCTTTCATTCTGAATTTGCCATTAACACAATTTCGTTTGTGTATCATATATTGAGGTAAAGTTCGTTTATAATAAATCCTGTAATTTCTTCTTATCTCTTAGAATTTCGCTGTTAAAGAAATCCGGAGAGAAAAGACATCCTTGCCATACTCTTCTTCCAACGTTTTTGTGTCGTCAAATGCAAGCTGCTAGTTCTTGTAAACTGCATTAGAATTCTAAGTATTAGTTATGTGACTTACCAAGCTGATTCTTCGATGAAGTTTGCACCTCTGTTTTCTTTAGTTGCGCTATGAAGATTGATCTACTGAAACTCTCCAGTATTCCCGCTCTGTCAAAGATAATGTTACCAAAGTGATAAACGAAATCGTTTACTACTTTCGAAACTTTATCAATACCCAAATCGTCTAGTTTTCAGAATCACTAATAGAATCTCATCCATGCTTACTGTTTTGTTCCCCTTCACCCTGAACAGTTAAGATGTACAGGATCGGACAAAATAATGGAACCTCTACTTTTTATTCAGGTATTTTTTCTATTGACAGAAATTTAAAACTGTCCTAGTCTGTATATATGTTCATATGCATGATGTATAATTTGTACTTCATAATATAGTCCACTGTTTTTCTTTTCTTTTTTTGACAGATATTTATATTTAAACAAGTTAAAATGCGTGACCTAGCTGATTTCCAGATTAAAAATTGCTGGAGTGCAGATAGTCGAAGTTTCGATCACTAAAACTATTGAATTGCTTAATGTTTTAAGAGGCGCAATCGCTAAAGTCACGTTGACATTCCAGAATCGAGATAAAACAAAGTGTGGCAAACTTAATTCTGGGCGGAGGACATTGCTCCCAGACAAGGACCACAGAAGAGTGAAACATTGTGTTCGAAAACCATCGAAATAGAACAACAAAAGCAGAGCTAGGCTACCATCTTACCAATCCTGGGCCAAAGAAAAGCGTTCCTCGTGAGCGCCATAAAACTGCATAGCATGAAAGGGAATTTCTAAACATCTTCTGTCCTAAATCAACATTGATAATCGAAGAAAATAGTGTCTAGACTATCAGAATTGTTTGCGGCTCAATGGAACAATGTCATTTCTGGTGAATCATTATCCATCTTTTTTTACCACTTCGTGCGGGTTTATGTCTGGAGACGGCCAAGGAAGCTTTCAACACTGACTGTTTGGCTACTACAGTGAAGCACGAAGGTGATTCTATGAGGATTTGATTGATTATCACGGAATTTTCTTGGCCATTTACGTGTTCTACATGGCAGCGTTAACGATTATCTGAATATTTTGCCCGATCATTTCCATCCAATGGTACAAATATTGTATTAAATCAAACTTCCAGAACGATAATGCACCGATTAATACGGCTAATGTTATTCAAATTTTTGTACGAAAAGCACGAAAGTGAACTCGACCACATAGATTGCATAAATCACCGGGTCTTGATATATTAAAATAGATTGATAGTACATTTGGAGTAGCAAGCGTGAAGCCACTTCATTCCTTCATCGTCATTGAAAGAGCTAAAGCCGGTTTTTCTTGAAGAATGACGCAAAATTTCCCCTAACGTTCAAAATTTGTTCGAGACAATTTCTCCCAGTATTAAAACTGTGATTGATGCCAAAAGTGAACAAAACTTCTTAACAAGGAACTTATATTATTCTGTCCTACCCTGTACCAAATTTTAATATCACAAGTACTTTCATGTTCCATGTAGGTTTCCATCTTCTGTCATGGAAAAACGATTTGATGTTGGCATTCCATCTTTAATACTCTTTCCTTTTCCATTATTATTCTCTACATTTTGTACATCTTACAGAAGGGCGTATTTTCTATCCTGTTATTTCTTTTAGCTTTTTATTCAGAGCTGTGTTTTGTTACCACAGTACAAACTTGTATTGTTTTACTTCCCCTTTGTTTCTCCCTCTTTTCAGTTTAGTTACTTTTTAGATTGGTAACTGTTTTTATCCATTATATTTGTAATTTTAGTTTGCATGTGATTGAGATTTGATCATTCCCACGGTAACCACAACGAGTTTTAGAGTAAAAAAAAGGACATTCCTAATTCGTTTGTTGATAGTAGTTTAATGTTGGTTTTTTCCATTTCTACAAGCATCTCGGGTTCTTCAAACCAAAGCATTGATTATTACTTGACCAATTAACCTGTACTTACTAAAACCATTTCCTTGCCTTCACACTTTTGTATTTAGACTACCAATGATAATGACAATTTTTTATTTACTCTAATAATTGCCATTTTTGGTAGTTACCAGCAAGTACACAACAGAATCTACAATTTCTTGTTCTTCTCTAGAAATCACACACGAGTAAGAAATCAGTTTTGTGCCTCGTCAATAAATTAATGAAGAGAAGACATTGATTTTACTGCATTAATGAAGAGAAGACATTGATTTTACTGCATTAATGAAGAGAAGACATTGATTTTACTGCATTAATTAAGAGAAGACATTGATTTTACTGCATTAATGAAAGAAGACATTGATTTTACTGCATTAATGAAGAGAAGACATTGATTTTACTGCATTAATGAAGAGAAATTGCATTAATAAAGAGAAGGCATTGATTTTACTGCATTAATGAAGAGAAGGCATTGATTTTACTGAATTAATGAAGAGAAGGCATTGATTTTACTGCATTAATGAAGAGAAGACATTGATTTTACTGCATTAATGAAGAGAAGACATTGATTTTACTGCATTAATGAAGAGAAGACATTGATTTTACTGCATTAATGAAGAGAAGACATTGATTTTACTGCATTAATGAAGAGAAGACATTGATTTTACTGCATTAATGAAGAGAAGACATTGATTTTACTGCATTAATTATCGAAATAATGCAGAAGATTTTTCGTAACATGTCTTTGTCTAGCTTGCTCTTCTTGTAATATTTATTGCAACTTAAGTTTGCACATGAGAAGGGACATCTTATACTTCTAAAATATGACATTAATACATATTCATTTAGCTTAAGTGGTTTGGAAATTACATTATATTCAATTGTGACGAGATGAAAACGGAAAAAATTTGAAAAAAATAAACCATAAAACAAGGCACCACTTGTACGATGTTAGGAGCAATTGCAAGACATGAAATTATTTATATTTTTTAAAATATAAGAAATTGTATATGGGAACTAGAAAAAAAAATCAGAAAGAGGCAGTTTGAATTTCTATAAAATTACGAGGAGGATGGGTTTGAAAAATTTAACATTCACAGGATATACTGAATGATGGATGAACAGAGAAATATAGCGAGTAACCTAATTAATGGGTTTGTGTGATTCTATAGCAGAGCGGGTTTAAAGAGGGATAGTAAAGAGTCAAATGTTGTTGACACTTACAAGGGATATGAAGTTGTGGACAACCATGATCACCCAAGACCTGAAGGGACACAACACATAAAAAGAAGAATATATTGAGAGAATATTATTGTTTCTGTTCATTTAATCTTCAGTGGTGATCGTCTGCATACAATGTCTGTTCAAAAGAATCAGGATACATTTTTGATATATCTATATGAAGTAGTTTCAGGAAACAAGGTGGGAACAGGAATTATTTGTGGACTAGGATTATAGACTGATTAAATCTAAGGAGTTTTTTTTTATTATTGTTAACAACAATTGAATATCTCAATTCTAACCAGGTTTCATTGATTTTGATGATCAGTAGTGTGTTTAAAAAAATAATAAAGTTAGAACACAATCGTTATTTTTACTAATTGAAAGTCAACAGGAAATCGTCTAGAATTTAAATATTATTTCGCACTTACTTTGCAATTATTTGAAGTCCATTTGTTATTCTTGTCATCCAAGACCGAACAACCGGCGACGAGAGAACCGAATGAGTAAGTTGTATTAATCATTTCAGTTCGGTTGTCTATTGATCTCTTATGTCGCTGATCTAGAACCATGAGAAAAAACAAACAACTGTTAGATTATTTATTAAAAGATGTTAACAGTTGATTAAGGCGCGTTTCTAACAGATCAGATTTTTATTGTTTTTAAGGTTAATAGTTAAGAAATTAGCAAAATATTTCTGGTGTTTTTGCGGAATTCTATAAAACGGTTTTTAAGTCGCTGCAAAACACAATCGAGTCTTCTTCATATTTTTAGTTCAATATTACTTAATGACAGTTTTAAAGATTGGTCTGGATAATGGAGAATCTTTTTTTTCGAGTCTTTTTATTCAAGCTCCAGAATCCATGGAAACCGATGGTATGAGGCAATAAACAACTTTTGATTTTGCATTAGGTTTCAACACTTATATTTTAACAGTTGATGACATTGTAGAGTTTTCCTCCTAATTTAATGGGAACTAGTTATAAACATCGTAACCAAGAAGCGTGCAATATGATGAACAAAAACAGTTCTTTATCAGTTTATCCCATATGTGTTATGCTTGTATTATTTTGTTTTATTTTTAATATATTTTATATCTAAATCAATATCATTAAACAGTGCAATACATCATTGCACATCTCTATCTCTTGATATTTTAATCTCTGATTCATCAAGTAATATTTGTAATAAATAGCTAAAACTCAAAGCTGAAGCGCAAAATCCATAAGCTCTCTCCAATTAGCTAATTCAGATATTTAGCTCGAATTAAGCGCTATTTTACGAAAGCCTGAAAAGTGCCACTATAGAGAGATCAATCACTGGAAAAATGCTTTTTGTCTTCTTTGATTACCAACACATAAAGTGAACTGACTTTTTAGTGTCATTATAGCGATCATCATAATCGCACACACGCACATACACCCATACAAATTCAAATCTTTAACAGCATTCATTCATTGGACAGAAAGCAACGCTGCTATCTGAAACGACAATTTTAAAATCGCTATATTTTCATATAGTAAATTTTGTGCACTTTTGGGAGAATTGGCTCCCAGAAGTCTCCCCAAATCTCAGGCACTGATTGGTCAATCAGAATCTCTGCATGTGGAGAATGATTTTTCCCGCGCAGATTCCTAATTCAATGCCCTCTTTTCTGAAAACAATATATATAATACACGGCAAAAAATGTGATGTGATCAGGAAAGCCGACGTGATCTTAGGAAGGGCCACATATTTATTGGCGACCCGCCGTTTAGGAAAGGCTGATGTGGCTTGCATGCGCTACGTCCACATAAAGATTACTTGACTTGTATTTGTCCTGCAGGAGAAGGCACCAAAACTTCACTGTTACCTCATTCGCCATTTTTTTAAAATTCTCGTTTCAGATAGCAGCATTGCTTTCTGTCCAATGAATGAGTGCGGTTAAAGATTTGAATTTGTAAGGGTGTATGTGTGTGTGTGTGTGTGTGTGTGTGTGTGTGTGTGCGATGATGAAATCGCTATAATACCTCCTCAAGACTGGAGGATTATAACATAATTCTTCAATATGTCACATAAGAGCGATATTTAGAAGGCCAATGTACCTTCCCGCCTGTTTTGGTAAACAGTGATTCTGTCTGTGAAGTAGATTGTTGATTCTGATTTGACGATGTTGATGATGATGATGCTGGTTGCTGTCGATCCGAATTGAGTTGTTTTGCGGCTTGTTCAAGATATGCCGGCTTTAAACGGTTGACAGAGAAAGTCGACTGACCATTGCAAGTCTGGATGGTAAAATGCTTGGGATGACGTGAAAGTACTCGAAAAGGTCCAGAGTAATTAGGGGTTAGTGTTTTTTTTACTGCGTCTTGTCGAACGTTTTTTTGACACATTTAAGATGGAATTCCTCGGTTGCGGGGAGGGCGTCTGACAAAGGTTTTACCATCCGATCCAAAGATGCAAAACCGTGACTCGTCACTCCAAAAACTCTACAGCAGTCCATAGAATGTGACTTTTCGCGAAATTCAGCCGATTAAGTCTATTCCTCTCCGAAATAATTGGCTATTTTTTAGCAATGCGCCCGAAAAATCCAAAATCCCTTAGACGTTTTCGGACAGTTTGCGGCGTAAAACTAACGCCAGTTTTACCAGATAATTGGTTGCAAATGTCCACGGCCGTCAGCCTTCGGTTAGTTTCGGAAAGCTTATGTGAATTCATTTTTCCAGTTGCAATGCTGATTTTTTTCGCTCATGATCTTTGCCTATCCTTATAATGTCCAGTATCGTAGAAAAACTTCCAAGCCTGAACACAAGCCGTTTTGCTGCACTTTAACTGCTTGCTTATGTTCATAAAGGAAACGTTTTGTTGATGAAGTAATTACTATTTTTTATCTAGTGACTGGGCTAAAACCACGACGCTTTCCCATAGCGAATTAATTGTATAACAATGCTCAGTTATTACACTATAATGACCAGCCATGTGACCACCCATGTAGCAAATAATTTGCATAATACCCATGTGGTCTTAAACTTAATTTGTCGGAAAATTTGGATAATTTAAATTAATCCAGCATTAAAATTTTTCAAGTTGTAGAAAAATATACAATTTTTACATCATTCGAAAGAGAAATAAATTCTGCATAAAGCGTACACAATAAAACTAATTTATATATTTATATTGTTTTATTAGAAACATATTCTGAAATGAATAAAACTAACTATCGCCAGTCAAATTCGACATATGAGGGTCACGCAGATCAGTTCCTATGAACCGACAGCCCGACACCAGCACATAAGATTTGATTATAGTGGGGTGAGGTTTTGTGAAAAACCATCCACACTTTTTGAATGGCCGAATACAGAGATCTGGTGCACTACGTGCCGCAAGGTCCCCAAACGACACTCCGCAGGTTTTGAATTGAAAGTTGTCCTTCTCCTAGACCAGTTGCCATCCAAGACTATAGAACCCAGTCTGTCTTGCTATTTACCCATAGCTAGAGGGAGAAGAGGATTCACACCTTTCCCAATGGTATTAGCACGTAAGTGAATGTAATAGAATCGACTGGAATTCGAACTCGGCTCTCCGATCCCTCAATCCAAGCCGCTATCCATTACTCCACACGTGTATGCGTGCGTGTGTGTGTGTGGGGGGGGGGGCACGGTGGAGTAATGGATAGCGGCTTAGATTGAGGAATTGGAGAGCCGAGTTCGAATTCCAGTCGATTTTATTACATTCACTTACGTGCTATATATATATATATATATATATATATATATATATACACACACAAATAAAAAGAAAGAACAGTTAGATTAACAATACACAATTCTTTAGCATTTATTTTTTAAAAAGTGCTCAATATAAAGTAGAGCATAATATTATTATTTAAAATACTTAAAAATATTTTGTCATCACGATACAGAAATTTCTATGCTTCGGAACTGAAGGTTAAAATTATTGTTCCATTTTCAAGCGATCTTGGAAAAGTTCAGAAAAAATTATTTATTTTTGCAAGCGAAGTAGTATTATATTGAAGAGTTTAAATAAGAGTGCGGGAATGTGATTTCAAAATTTTATTATGGGTGTTGTTGTTTTTTGACGAATCTAAATACAGATCTAAGTTAAATTGGAAAAGTGAAACATGTAGGTTAGAGGTTAGGTGTGGGTATGTAATTCATGGTTGTCTAGTTACTGTGAGATTTCATATAGGAACAGACCCTTTGCCAGAATGCTTTCACTGGGAGTTGGTCTTTTAGTTGGGGTGCGGCGAGTAATAAGTTGTACACTAAAATTAGTTCCCATTATTTTCACGAGGAGGGGGCGTCAAATGATTTTCGTGTGGAGGCAACTTCCAGTTCCCCTGGCGATGGGATTGCATATGAACATCTGTCAAACCAATTGATCAGTTTAGATGTTTATAATAAAATAAATATACTATATTCATATTCAATGATTTCTATATATAGCATCTTAAAAAAATCATTTTCTCCTTAAATGAGAAAAAAATCCTTTAATTGTCTTTGAATAAAGTATGAAAACTTACGTCCCATAATTGCGAATGGTTGCAGGCCCACGTAAATTTTTCCAGTTTTTAAGATGGCGTTATCAGGAAAACAAATCGTATACACACCGTCTGTTAAATTGCTTGGTTCTACAACAGTCCGGTAATTGAAATCTTTTATAGTTGGATAGACATGGCTTCTCATGTATACAATATATCCAAGATACCTGTCAGTTGGCATCACCTTCACACACGCCTTTTCAGCCTTCGATCTTGAAGAAAGAAATTTATACTTTAATAACATTATAAGGTATCTGTTCTTATGAGTACCAATATATAAGTAAAAAACATCAGTTATTAATTCAGAGACAGGTAATTTTGTTTTTGAGATTTTATTTCACCATGCTTTGAGGAAAGGTAAAAGTTATTTTGAATTTCAATAACCGATGATGAATTTTTACCGAGATTATAAAAATTTTATTCCCTACCAAATCTAAGTTCTTGTATCTTGTGTTAGTAGGATTAACAAGTGACAATAGGCGCAAATCACAAAATAAGACTCAACCATTGCGTAATTTTTTAAAGGAAAACCATTTATAATACAATTATGAAAAAGCTACAACTACAAAGTTTGCCCCAAATTGTGCGCCTATTAAGGCAGGATAACAATTTTTGGTAAAAAAATAAAAAAAATAAAGGATTACCAACGAAAAATGGAAAAAATTACAGTTTGGGAAAAGACAAGGAATTTGAAAAAAAGCAAAAAGAGAAAACAATTCAAGAAGGCAATAGTAAAACAAAAAACAAAAAAAAATAAAATAAACGAAAGCACCTCTACTTTTACTTGCCCCACGAGCGTCTCTGGGTAAATTTTTGAAAAGTCCCTTTGTCCAAACGCAGGAGAATTTTCACTTGAACTTCAAAATTCTTTTGGGATCTCTGCAGCTGGTTGGTAACATGGTGCCTTCTTTGATGCTCACTTCTTGATGTCAAATGCCTTTTGTTCCTTGATATTAATTTACCTTGTCCACTTGCTGTCAAAAAGTCTTCTCGCATTTACTGACCTGATCTCTCTGTATGTGGAAAATTAGGCTCACCATACCCCCACTCCAATATTCGGGTTGTTACTAGAGGTTGAGACCACGTCTCCCATTGGTCAGTATATACGAAAAAATAATTTTCCATAAACTGGAAATGGATCCTCCACAAATTTTTTACACAAACCGTTTGGCATTTATAGAAATACACGTTCTCTCAAAAGAACGTGTATTAAAAAAACAACCTAGACGGTAACATTTTTAAAATAGTAAAAATAAAATTTTTATGACATTTGAACACTGTAAAAACGAGAAGGAAACTTGTAATTGATGCACCCACCGATATATGCTGTATGAGTCTGCAACTATTCAATATATCTGGACGAATTATAATTAAACTTTGTGTATTATTTATGCGTTGAACAAATTATCCAGTTTGAATTTCCCTAATTCCAAGAAACAAAGATACACTTATTGTTATTGTTTTTAGAGATGGAATGTTAAATTCTAAATTTGCGATTAGCATCCAATTCTGGAGTCAGTAGTGATCACTTTTATGTGGCAACTGATTTGTTTACATACTAATAATTGCATCTGCTCTTGGACTGAAAAGAAAAGTTTCTCTCACTGATTGTAAAGGTAAAAAGAAAGAAAGAATCGAAACTGTAAACTAAAAACCAAGTCTCATCCCAGTATTTACTTTTAACTGATTATAATTTTTAAATAATAATAGCAAAAATAAAATCTTACCTATAATTAAAAATATGAAAAATCATTTTGGAATTATTGCTCATTGGCTGAGTCCACTTCCATGTAATGTTCTTCTGACTGAAACCAATTGTTACAGTGCCATATGTGCGTTCTTGCATTTTATTCGATCCCGATTTTTGATTAAAAGAAATAACGTCTTTCAGATTGTCAGATCCAGCCGCATACGCGAAAGGGTTTTTCTTGAAAGCGACTAACTGCAAAACAAAAGATTTAAGGTTAAAAAGTCAATGAAAATATTCAGCAGTGGGATCACTAATTAAAAAAATGTAAATATCTTGATTATTGACAATTTTTATTGCTTCTCAAGTGAAAAAAAAAAGATTTTCGACGTGAAATTTGTCTTTAAATGAGACACACATTAAATTCCAGGTGAATATAAAAATATGTCAGTTTAAGCAGTAGTAATGCAGTTGAATATCCTTGTGGAATTACACCACCATGTCTTCGTTTGAATCCGCTAGGACTGTAAAAGGAACATAAACACCCTTTTACTCTTTTTCACTCGCTAGCGTATAGGATAAGATGGGTACAAGATTTTGTTCAGTCTTCTTTTGAGGATACACTCCTCAAACAGCCGACTACTTATTTTCAACACAACCACGTGGCATACCCTACCAACCCCTACACACTATTACTGCTAATCCAATAAACGTTTTTCGTTCTTTTTTATGAACTCTAGCTATCTGTATACACATAATATTTTCTTTATCTTTTGTGAGCTATTTTGAATTAGTTTCTTTTGAAAATTTTAAATTCGTTTTTCATCTTCGCCGTTATAATTCTTAAACAACCGCATCTATTACAAACTAGTGATCACCGGCGGAATATGGATATGAGACATAACTAAAGAAAAAAGTAACCCCTTTGCAAGATGGAACCATCCGACGAAATAGCAAACTGTTTCAACATTATTCAGCACACATGGAGAAAAATCCAGATAACTACTGCTATTATTATTAGCCGAATACCAAGGCTTAATTTTTTTGTTTTGTCTCATTTACAATCATAAGAGTCTTTTTGTCTTCCTCTAACACTAACTACTAATCAACAACGCTAACGGACCGTTATTTTGATTTCTATCGCCAGCAGACATATTAAAATTCCTCCGCCTCTATGACGAAAAAAATCACGAATCCAGGATAATTTATTGGAACTTGAAGAAAACACATACATGCACATAACAATATACTGACTATACTGGAAATTGAACATTCAGTAATTCAAAAATTGTATCTATTAAGCAAAAATTAAAAACAGACGTGTACATGCAATTTTTTTTTACATAAAACGAGTCGCAGTAAAACATTTCAACAACAGAATCACAACTTCACGAAGAATTCCACCTGGTCAAGGTAGAATTCTTCGTCAGACACGGTATTTCAGCATTGAAAAAGATTAGACATGTGAAATCTTTACGTAAAATACTGAAATTTACGACTTTCTTCTGGCATACAGTACAAGTCAAAAAATGGACGCACCCATAGAAAGTCGATTTTTGTATTTTTACCGAGAGACAAATGAGTCATAGAATTCGTTTATTAATACAGGGTATTAATACAGGTGTATATATGTACATGATACAAGTCAAAAAATGATTTTACTTAGTAAAGATACAAAAATTGACTTTCTATGGGTGCGTTCATTTTTTTTTTTTTTTTGCCTCCTACTTTGCAAAAGCTACTTTGCAAAATTCTGCCAAAATCAACACGGAAAAGTTACGCAGACCTCATAAGAAAATATTTGCAAATATGAAGTTCAACTCAAAGTCAGAAGTCTATTTCTCACCTCTTTCCAGCAATAAATTAACATATATGAAAGCTCGATTAATGATACCAGAGACAACAGAACCACTGAAAAATCGACATTAATAACAAATATCTTTTACAAAGGTTCTTATAAAACATGATTCGACACTCTGTATTAAATTCATCAGCGTCCACTCAACAAGTTTACAGCATTCATTACAGCTGTTACATTTATTTCGCCAAAATCAAATCCACCTAGCGGGCCCGAACAACGCTAACTGGTTACATTGGAAAACAACTGGAAATAATTACTTCAACTCACTACTGGCGATTTCAATGCAAAATACACTACCAACATTTTATTCAGAACGTGCTATATCTGACATAACAGAAATTTCCTCAGTACTACTGATTTACTTCCCGCAATACTTCAAAGAAATAATTTTTATGTGGACATGTTAACAATTTACACCGCAACTTGACCTTTCAAATCTCCATTCGTTACGCTACCAAGGACAGAACATATTGAAACATATTTTTTACATATTGGAAAAAATACATTGGACTTTTCTTAATGCCAGTAGGTGGCGTTTTATTGAAGAATATAAAATATATATTCTGTTTTCACTCTCTCACCTATGCGATGCCGTAGGTCAAGATGTTATCCAGTCTTGCTCTGTAGAGACACTCTCTAGATATCCAATTACTTAATTTCACCCCCCCCCAAAAAAAAACATCTATGTAGATTGTCCATCGGGTCCAAAGAAGAACTTTTCTTGCAATTCATCAGTGGATGTGGATGAATTTACAAAACAGGCTTGTTTCACTTGGGTAATCCCACTCTTTCGGCCGTGGGTGGGGTCTCTTTATACGGTGGCACAAGGGATCGTTACAACCACAGACTTCCATGCTGCAGTAAATGACTAGGACTTCTTTATGGATTATGTAGAAAATAATGAAATGTAAGATGATTTAAGACTAGCTGCTGCTGCTTAATTTTAAAAGTGGCTGTTGAGCAAATATAGGATGAAGTAGAATTGCAAAAGTAACTATTCTGCAATGTAATTTGATCAGTGTAAGGAGCACTTTTGAGATTAGCCACTTTTTGTGTCCTTAACTTTCCTTCCTACCAAAATTAGTTACTTTTCTACCAGTGATAATTCCCTTGTTCATAGTCGCTGAACCATAGTGCCTCGTTACTAGACATCTGGCTAAAGAATATTAGTACTTTCTAGCTCATCTTTTGACTATATTGCTTGCCCACATTGTTCTCTAACGTAACCGAGACCCATCCTATTGTTAAATTCTTTGTCTCGGCCTTAACTCTCAATCTATCGACCCATTGGTCAGATGGTATATGTTTTTTCCTTGTATTGCCGATGCATTTTCCTCCTCAGTCAGTATTTATTTTCAGTTTTTCTGGTTCCTTTGTGCAACTTTGAGCTTCCCCCTTTTTACTTCAACACATTTCCTGTCGTGAGATTTAGAATAATATTTTATTGAACTCTAAAAAATATTTCACCCTTTCATGGTGTCACTGTCGCCAGTTTGTCTAAACCATGAATTAAGTAATAGCAGTTATATATCATTTCAATTAGGGGACCGCATATTTTTTGATTATCGACTCCTTCAGGGAATTGGTGATCTTTTATCAACCACTTAATTTTGAATTACTAAGCTTCTATAAGTATAAGTTAAAGATCGAACAACTAAATAAATATATATACAACAATAGTATGATATTTTAGCAAATTATTGACTTGTCTGTAATACACACACCGAACACCTTCACTTATAACAAAAAATGATGAGTCAGTTATTTCAACAACCAATATATATATATATATATATGTGTGTGTATATATATATATATACATATGTGTATATATATATATAGAGAGAGAGAGACACACGCACACTCACATATATATATAAGAGAGAGAAAGAGAGTGAGGATTTCTAAGTTTTTTGATGGCACATCTTTTAATACCTTTAATTTTTTTTCTAACATGTTCTGATTATCATCTCTTTTCAGATAAATAATGACAAACATCAAGCTAACTCAGCAAAAGACATGTTGTAATCATTGATTTAAAGGCAGAGCAGAGGGATTTAGAGATTGCTCATTTCCTGAAAGTTGCATGGTCATTTGTTATCAAATTTCGCAAAGAGCTGGAAGATGCCGACGGGATTCTATAGTAGTAGACAAACGTAAAACACCTACTAAGGGCCCTAATACCATCAAAAAACGTAATTGTGTGCAAAAGGTACAGAAGATTAATGATAAGAACCTCAGGAAGCCAATTAACACCATTTCAAGGTACTCTATCGGAAGAATTGTGCACGAGGTCAAGGCATATGCGATGTAGGGAAGCCAATTCATGCCTGCAAAGATAACTGCCTGATCCGCACAAAGTGCTTGTTGAGCAAGTTGAAATATCATAAAGCCTGGGATGCTTTGGTTTTTCTTTGTCGAGAAAATCTTTCATCAGGATCAAAAGATTAACCGATGGTTACGCAGAAACTCTATATACGTTCCAATGGTCATGCATACAAAACTTCAGGTTACTGTGATGGTCCTGGGAGTCGTGAGCAACGACGGAGAGGTCATGCCACCTTTTCTGATGATTATAAGATGTTGGAGAGTGTTGTAAGGCCTTGGATAGAAAACGTAAGCAAAGGAAGGCCGTACACCTACTAACGAGTGTCAGTGCGGCTGCCATAATGTTTGATGGATTTGTAGCTAAACTTAAATGAATTGAAAAAACAAGTGGCAACAGACATGGATCAATATTTTTAAATTTCAAAAAATAAGTGATAAATTTGATAATCTGATGGTGGTATTTGACGGTGCGAAGTGAGCGATCTTCTGGGGCATTTGACGGTGCGATTTGAGCAATCTTCCAGTTGTTGCTAGAGAAAGAGAAAGATCATTGATAATGAGGATAGTGGTTTGTAGCGTGACCACAGGTTATTGGTATTAGAAGGTAATAATCGTACAAACAAACTGATCGTAATCCTCAAGGAACTCTGATATAAGTTTGAGGTCGAAACAAATTTAGCGGTAGTACCTTGATGTGAAATTATATCTCAACACAGGTATCGTTATTCCATTGAAAAAGTTGAATTATTTTATTTATGCAATTTTATTGCTGTTCTACTTTTTGGTGTTTATTTAAATCGATAATGCTTCTCACACAGGCTATCATGGATAAGAGTTGTAAGATCAAATCTTTATTTCGAATAGAAATAAGTTGAAAGGAAATACTACTAGGAACTGATTATCTTTTCTACTGAGTTGAAATTAATTCATTTTTGCATGTTCATGTGCACAAATACTAATTTTCAAGTAATCTTCCACATGAAAAGGTTACATAACTTCATTAACCAAATGGAAACTACGTGATACAGTACTTTATTCTTGGCGTATGTACTTTTATAGCGCAACTTACAGGTTTGTGCGTTGTTGAAGCAATACATAAACAAAAAATTTTAATCGAAGAGTAACTCTAGTTATTAATTTAAATAATTTAGAGGTGTACAGATGGATCTGAAAAAGATGATAAAATCGCACAAAGCTGTTTATTAACATTATACATTTCTCTCAATGTTTCGTAGCTGAAAGGAAACAAAGCAACATGCCAGCATAAACACTGTGTTATGAAATTTCATTCATTCAACTCACACTGATGCCCATGCTTTGAATGGTATCCACTTGTACACTTTCATTACTCGGCAACTGGAACATTTGAGATGACGGTTTTGGGGATACTTTCCACTTCCCAATCTTCAGCTGTTTTGAAATTTGAATAACTGGTAATCCGTCCTTAACAGCCAGTGAAGACATGGCGTCGTCTATTCGATTTATTGTTTTCATAATCTCCGGTATAGCTGATCTGGACTAAAAATAAATATTTGTAATTTATACATATAGGAAAAATATGTGAATGCGTCAAAATTCTAATTTTTAATTGGTTGGATTTTTATTTCATTTAGACTGCAAAAATTAAATTTTGACTCTCGGAAATTTGCTTTTCTAAAAATGCAACTCTCTACACTTACTTGTTGCCTCACTGAAATGATTTTCTAGATAAGATGAGATTACCTGCTATTAGATTTCTACACACAATAAGAGTGAATGTTTTACTATGCAGAAACAAATATTTATTATTATTACATCTGGGATAATATTCCAATGACAAAGGAATTGTCACTCGAGTTACCTGACAGTTCTTATATGTGCTTTCGTCTTTCCTTATTACACTATGTAAGCTAGGGCACCTCGAGGTGGTGTAATGGTTAGCAAGTTTGTCTCGCTAGAAGAATTACGACTGTGTAGTGAGTTTGATTCTCACTGGGTGCCCTTTCTTTCGGCCTTGTGCCGCAGCTATGCTTGGAAAATCACTACACGATGTAAACTATCTCTTTTTCCTTTATCGCTCCACCTTTTTCTCAGACATCTTCTTCATTTTCTTTTATATCAGACAAAATATCTGATAATATTGAAACGACGTTCTCTCTTCATCGATCTGCGAATATTTTTGTGTTTAGTGACTTTAATGCGCATCACGTCAAGTGTAATGTTACTGATGTTGCTGATATTCAGACTTTCAATTTTTCCTTTGCTCAGTCTCTTCCTCAAATCGTGCATTTCCCTACTCATTTCCTTAATAAATCTGAGCAACATGCTTCTTTACTTGATTTGTTCTTTACCTCCTCTCCTAACTCTTGTCGTGCTTCGTAACACTATCCTGTTGGCAACTTGGATTACGCTATACTATCTATTGATATTTTTTTCCAATCATCTATCAGACATGAACCACCTTTTCATAAGACTTCTTTCTGTTACCAGCATGCTGATTGAGATTTATTTCGCGAGTTTCTTTGAGACGACCCTTGGACTGACATTTTTAACCTTCATATTGAGAATTTCGCCACTGAGGTTTCCTCTTGGGTCAATGCCTGCATAGATGCTTTCATTCCCTCTCGGAAATACTAGATAAAACCACAATCTTCATAGTTCATAGCAGCATGCTCTGTCGCTACAGCCCACAGGAACTACTACTTCCGACTATACCAGCTTAACAGTTCCCATCACAACAAACGCCTATTCGTGGTTGCACGTAATAAATGTAAACGTATGTATCCTCAAAGGAACTAAGTCTCTAAGTCTGCTGAGAGAATGAGGCACTGTATTGCACCTAAGAACTTTGGCTCCCGTGACTACTGGAGGCTCTGTAATAGTGTATTAAATAAGATTAAGTTTTCTATTCCCCCTCTCTTCAATCAATTTGAAGTCTTAATATCTTCTGCTGTTAAAGTTCCGTCCGTAATTTCTCCCGAAATTCTACTCTTTATTCACCTGTACTTGCCTAACTTCCCCACTTCTTTATTCACCTATACTTGCCTAACTTCCCACTTAGAACTAAGTCGCTGCTGAGTGATATGCATATTTCTATGGTTTCTACTATCATCTCTAATCTGAATCACCTCAAAGCATATGGAACTGATGATATCACTGCAATTGTCCTTAAGAAATGTGCTCCCGAGCTGGCTCTTGTTCTGTCTAAACTGTATCATCAGAGCTTCACTACCTCTTGCTTCTCTGCATGTTGAAAATCCTTATTTGTTGTTCCAGTTTTTAAGAACTATGGTGAACTGTCCGATCCTTCCAACTATCGGTCAATTAGCCTACTACCTCTTTTTTTGGCAAACTATTCAATGTTGAATTAGTTTAGCAACTCACATCGCAGGGCCTTCTTCCAGGCAAGCAATATGGCTTTTGTTTCTCTAAGTCAACTGCTGATGTATTAGAGACTACAGCAGAAAGAGTCTATCAAGATTTAGATAAGAATGGAGAAGCTGGGGTGCGAAGGCGCTATCCTTGGTCCAACTTTGTTTTTAATTTTCATTAACGAGCTTCTTCATGACATCAGATCTCATCTTCGTATCTATGCAGATGACAAAACCATTAACTCCTGTCTCGATAAGAAGTCTGATAAGTTCAAATTGGCGTTTCATCTCACAAACGGCTTAAAGTCTGTTGTTAACAAAGAATGGCTTGTTAATTTTAACATCTCTAAAACTAAACTGTTCTCTGTTAATCATCTGAGAGAACACTTTCTGCCATCTATCAGCATGGCTGATGCTAACCTGCAGGAGAATGGCTCATTATGTCTACTCCGATTAAATTTCTCGGCCAACATGAAGTGGAAAGACTACATTGAATCCATCGCTAGGTCAGCTGCTAAGAAAGACAGTTCACTGTATCGTGCCAGATAATTTTTCTCTCCAGATCTATCTTACATATCTATAAGTCTAACATTCGCCCATGTTTAGAATATAGCTGATACATTTGGTCTGATCCTCCTGCTATTTATTTAGAGATTCTTGATAAAATCCAAAGGAAAATCAGCAATATCATTGGTCCTGATCTAGCGTCTCGGCTTCAGTCACTTTCCCACCGCCGTAATGTAGCTTCTCTGTGCCTTTTCTATAAATATTTTCATGGTAATTGTTTGGACGGACTCTACTATGGTACCTAGACTTTATGAATTTAAGTGCAGTACTAGACTGACAAAGAGGTCTCTCATCAATTTACAGCTGAATTGGCTAGATGTAACCGTTAGTTCTATGATAACAGAATCTTTTCTCGCACTTCTTTCCTGTGTAACTATCTTTCAGCTCTATGATTTCCGACCAGCATTGATCTTCAAACATTTAAATGCAATGTCAATCGCTATCTATTGTCTTTCTGATTACACTTCTATTTTCCTCACTCCTTCATAATGTTTTCTGTTTTCAAATTCTTTCACAGTCAGTAACCACCTGTGTCTTAGTGGCTTTACTGCCTTGCTTGTAATTTTTTAAAGGAGTTTTATCCGACATCATTTCTTATTACCATAAATGTTATTTTCGTGTGTCCACATGTTTGAGTTACTACCAAAGTTGTTTTATTTTTATTTTATTAAACAGTGGAATTAATAACTGACCTAAATTGAACAGTCCTACTAAAAAAAAAGAAAAATTATTCCTATGTGCATGAATTGACAGCTGTAAATGATATCATTTGCAGCTGTCATTATTATGTGCACAATACAAACTGCAGAACGTGGATTATTAAATAAAATCCATTGTTAGTGTTGTATCGTCACTCTCATTTTAATTTTCGTATCTGCATATTTCTGACTGAAAATGTTCTTAAAACTACTTACATTACTTGGTTGCCTCCGACGACTTTTATGTTTGATTTCTAACTTCAGATTCTTAATCTCGCTAGCTCAGTTCCTAAATGTCAAAACTAAATTTACTTTCGTCAGGTTTTGATGGCCCGACCCTTAACCGATATAACAGCCCGACCCTTAACCGATATAACAATAAAGCACAGATTGCAAACGTTCTAATTCGCTATTTACAAACTATAATAATAAGAGGAATGTTTGTACAGTCGTGTACATTCTAAGAAAAACATTTTTTTACAAGTTTCTTTTTTTCTTTCGGATTAGCTTTAAGGAATCACAGTGAATTTGAAAATTCTACCATTTAATAAATAGTTTTAAAAGAAAATGTAAATACTGCGAATCATAGTGACCTCGCGCATTTCTATCTATCTATCTATCTATATATATATATATATATATATATGTGTGTGTGTGTACGCGCGCGCACGTGTGTGTGTATGTGAGTGTGTGTGTGATAGAGAGAGAGAGAGAGAGGGGAAGAGAGAGTACACAGATACAACATTGATTCAATGCAGCGTGCACTGATGAAATGTCTATTTATACAAAACCTTATTCTATTTATAGATATTACCTTAATTATATATAAAGGTTACAATTGTAGATCATGTAAATAACATGATTCCCAATTCTTACTTACAATGGGGAGTTGTTTCTTTTGCTGTAGCATTTCCTGCTGATATTCCTTTAAATCTAGAAAAGCTCTCTCTTCAATACTTATAGATGAGTCAGGGTTTGGATATTTCTGCTCTGTCTTTTTCCGCATCTTGTCCATTGTCATGGCTTCGGATGGTAAAGGATCATCCGGTATAATTTGATTTAATATAGTTCCGATAAAATTCGTCACACCTTAAAATAAAACATTTCTTAAAAAAAGAATCAGCATAAATAGTCGTAGCAATCTGATATTCATCTGCAATAATACAACAGTAATACAACTGGTTATGTGAGTTTATGATAGTGACTAGAACCTCTATAATCTTCTTCAAGGATTTTGAAATTCAGCAGTTTATACTAATTAATGCTCATTCTTTCGAAGCTGGTGTACTGAAGTAGCAACTGTGACAAAACCCATTACAATTCGATGGTAGTAAGAGCAATCTCGTAATTCAGTTACAGTAATCACCTTCTTCGAATCGATGTTATTTGCGATGTAGTTAAGAATCCGAACCTCATTTTGAACAAGTAGCATCATTTTGGATAGTATTTGGAGTGCACAGTTGAAAATCACAGATAATCTCTTCAGTTCTGACTCTTAAAAGGTAATTAAGTCTATGCAGATTAGGATTAATGTTTTACATTGTCGGACTTCAAAACAAAAATTCTACATAAGTAGCTGAAATATTTCAGGGCACAAATGGCATAATTTCAAGCTATTAGTCTATGTTATTTAGTGAAAACTGTGTTCTTAAATTTCTTTTTGGTCGATGTTATTTAGAATTTTCAATCAGTTTTCATCAAGTATCTTTTCTGCTGATTCACATTTGATTTCTCTAGATATAGGAAACTCCCGGTAAACGAGTTACATAAATGATTGAACTTTAATGTAGAATTTCCTGAATGTTTAGACAGCAAAATGACACTATAAGCAGTTTTCAATTTGAAACAGATATTATTTTATCAGAAATAAAACTATGGTTTGCTTACATGTTGACAGAAAGTGATAAACAATATATGAGGATTACATCGAATAATTATCATTTACATTATTTATATTCGGACCAATACCCACATCTTTGTTATTACTAACATTTTTTTGGCCGTTATACCACCTGAACTAACATTCAGGGAATTTTATTTAATTTACAGGCGTATTCTTGTTCCACAGTTTATGCCTAAGGATATTGTACTTTTTAGTACTACGCAGTTATTGCTCACTCTGTTTCATCTGAGTGAATATAAACTATTAAGCCCAGCCATTGTACTAAGCCGCTAAATTCACGGATAAACGCTAATCCATTGGGCTATAGTCACGTAGGACAATCCTGAGTTTAGAACTTGGAATCTTAAATTTGTTCTTGTAGTCTGCCTGATGCTGCCTCCGTTCTTGCTGTGATGCTTGAACAATTTCGGCGCCGATTCCATTTTTTACAGCTGTTACTGAAAGGCTGTTGCAATTTTATTTATTTGTTAATGTCTTCCATATGATATTTATTTATTCCATATATTTTTTAAATAACAGAATATTGATTCGTCAACATGTTTGGAAAATTTCCAACCAATCCAGTAGAATAAGTATTAATAGATCTTGAAAAGAGTATCTGGCATTGGTACATTAATTATATTTAAGACATTATGGATATTTTTTAGGTTTAGAATGGCACAAAGCCACGTTAGAACGCATCTAGTAAGGATCGAACACACAATTAGCTCGTTAAACATTCACCACATTGAAGCACACATTGATACTTTTATCTTTATCAAGCGTAATAAGCTCTAAACAATATAGCAGTCATTTCACCACTCATTTCATGGAAAACTTGAATCTTTAATATCGCTTTAAAAATATGTAGTATATTTTTTCCTCTAAAAATAATAACTAATAGGGAATTTATCACAATCGTACGCACATAAAACAACATTATACGACAGGCACTGGTAATCTAAAAAACATTCTTGATATATAAAAATATATATTATTATTTCATATCATATATATTAATTATATATATATATATATTACTGGAATTAAGAAACTTTTAGTTAAACCGAACAATTTGTAAAAAAAATTTGCTCGGTTTAATGAAAATAAACATTGAGCTGTCTTTTGTGAGTCAGTTTTAACATATTTCAAATACTATGTTGTGTTAATAGGACTCGCCTGGATTATACCATCGCATTACTACCTGTACATATATATATATATATATATATATATATATATATATATATATATATGTGTGTGTGTGTGTGTGTGTGAAAGAGATATATAATAATAATATCAAATCCGTAAGTGTTAAGTATAATCCAAGTAGGTGTTTTTAATGTTTTTAATATAAAATATTAAAAAGCTGGATCCAAGAAGAGAGCCCAATGTATTTGCATACAGAGCAACATGATATACACCAAGAAGGAAAAACCTTAACACATCATCAAAGAATTGAGTAATAAATTTATTTCGAGAGATCAGTTTTTAATATCTGCCTCATCAGACCGAAATTAGAAAATGGTTTAAAATTACAAACAATATATTAAAAATTATTTAAAAATTAAATCACAAGAGAACAAGAAGTAAATATCTAAATTAATTGACCTAGAAAAATGTATTTTTATTTAAATTACCTGATAAATTGAATTTTATTTTTATTTATTTTTCAGTCATATAATTATTTTGCATTATTTATTGAAAGTTATAATTCTATTTATGTGTATGTATATGTTTTTTGTGTATTTAGATGTGTGTATATTTGTTCATATGTACATGTGTGTATGTGTGTATATATATGTGTGTGTGTGTTTATGTTTATATATGTGTATATGTGTATGTATATATATATATATATATATAGGTGTTTTAATATAATATATATACATAATAATAACTAGCCACTCTATGATAATATCCGGCAGCTTTGGCCAAGTGACACCACAAGGAACAAAGTAAGAGACAGCTGTGTAACACAACAACTGTACATCAACGGTTCATACAATAAACGTTCTACTTACTAAATTAACAACATGCAAATTTTCAACACTTTCCCTCTTTAAACCCCGTGATCCTATGTTTAGCCTCGCTTGTTAAACTGGTACAAGGCTGAATTCTGATTTATTTTACTCTGTGATTTCTTTGGGCCGACGCTTCAGTTGCATCTGGTAATCTGGAACAAGGCCGGAGTCATTCTCCAGTAGTTGTGTAGAGGTTTGACATATCGGGTCTTGAACCAAATGTCAACGCGCCTCTCTCGCAAACAGCACCCCGAACTGTCCGGTTCTTTCTTCTCTGTCTCTCGCGCCACTTGTCTGTATTTATGAACCCTCAAGTAAACCTGGCGCGAGGCATGAGGTGGTTAGAGGTTCCCCAACATCTATACACTTTCGTTGTCTGGTCTTGGGAAATTGATTGCCTAACCAAATTTGGGGAGATCCCTCAACCGAAGAGTGGTGGTCGCAGAATATCGATCTGCCCAACTCCTTCCATCTCGTGTAGATGCCTCTCACCATCACCGCCCGAAGGGTGCAGGCAATTCCTCCGCCTTCCTTGCAATTTTACCTGGGCTTCCACCTCTCCCTCCGTCTCATAAGTGTGCAGTTAACAGTTAAGAATATTTTGGAACGTGCAGAAATGCGACACTAGATTTTTGAATATTGTTGTAATGTAGTAATTCAAAATTTCTATTGTTGTAAGTGTTTTTTTTTTTGATGTGACATAGATATTAAAAAAATGTCTTAGAAGATTTCAGAAATTTTTATACCGCAGATCGAATGTTTTAAAATTAAGGAATAATGCGGCTTAATTAATATTATAAAATAGTCATTCAAAGAATAAATCAATAAAATTAACGTGATTAATGGCGAATGTGTGTATGTATGTATGTATGTGTACGCATTGTATACATGTGTTTACTTGAGTGTTTGTATGGATGTGTATATTTGCATGTTTTTTATATATTTATATGTCACGCACGCACACATATATATGATGTATTTTATAATTATAAAGATGAATTAGATATAATGAATTTATGGTTTTTTATGTATTATTTATTTTTTCATTCTTTTTTTATATATTATATTTATTTGTTTCAATCTTATATATATATATATATATATATATATATATATATATGATTGTTATTATATGGACGTAGATTAGATGAGGACGATACAAATTTTGATTTAATTTCAATTTATTTCACTGTCACTTGTACTTCCTACACCCACTGCTGCTCATGTTGCTTCTCCTTTTTCTTTCCCCCACTCCTGTCTTCAATAATGTAAATCCCCTGGATAAATTTAAACCATTTTGTAATTTCGATCTGGTGAAGCAGATATTATAAACTCGAAATACAGTTTTTACCGAATTCTTCGATGATGTGTTAGGTTTTTTCCTTCTTAATATATATATATATATATATATATATATATATATATATATATATATATATATATATATAAGATATGAGTATCCACTAGCAAAATAAGATAAAACGTTTATACATATATATAGCAAAATTCAATCTCCTTATCTATTTCATTGCCTGCAATTATAATTACTGGTAAGCGAAATAAAGCATAAGAATTTCTTTCTAGATATAAACTCAATGCAAACGAATAATATCTATTGTTCCTGACTGGAGATCAAGTTGTAACAAAGTTTCTCCTTAAAATTTTAATGGTTAATGGATATATAAATAAATCACTAGATTTCACAAGACAGTTATTGTAACAGAGACAGAGAGCACCAGGTGGGTTTATTAATCAACGGTTCTGAAGGATTGGGAAGAAGGTCCTAATTAGTTGGGTAGAAGAGATTCCAGAGTAATTCCAGAAATAAGTTTTTCTTTTTACTTAGTTGTTTCTGGGATTGAATTATTAATTAACTAGGTGAATTAATTCCAGAGTAATTAATGAACGGGTTCGTTAGGTAAAGATTGTGTTAAATGGTGAATTGGATTTTGGGTGGTCTGCAGGGCGAAATCCAGCCAGAGCCATCAGACGAGATAAGTGCTTTTCGCCGGGCTTAAGTGGGCATTGTCTGAAGAAAACCCAGCAGGGAGTCCGAATCCGATTTTAGTACCTCTTGAAAACTGGGTTCCCGCAAAGGTTCGGAGATCCGGCGGAAAAAACATGATGGTCCAGGCGATTTGCATATTAAAATTCGTGGGCGGTGCCTAAAAACTGTTTAGCTC